GGAAGCCAAAGGTGGATATGCTTCGGGTGTTCGGGTGCATGTGCATGGCGCTCGTGCCTAAGCATCTTCGGCACAACAAGCTTGGTGCCAAGGCGGTGTGGGCCGTGCACTTGGGCATGGCTCAAAACAGCAAGGGATGGCTTCTTTGGGACCCATTCACCAAGAAGTTCTTGGTGAGCAGGGACTGCAAGTTCATGGAGAACTTCATGTACAAGGATTGGAAGGCGGAGAATGAGGCAAAGATAGGCGTGCGGTTTGGGGAGGTGAAGAGTTCCGGTTTGGAGCATGTGGAGCTGCCTTTGGAGCTGAGCAGCGGCAGCACAACCACAAGGCAATCCTCCCTTGTGAATGGGGGAGAGGAGGCCAATGATGCAGAGGAAGAAGAGGAGGAGGTGCAGCAAGTGAGCGAGCGTGCACCGTCACTCCCTTCCCGTACTACGAGTGCTCCACGGATTCGAGCCACACCGCAGCAACGCCAAGGCCTTCAAGCCCCTGCAGCTGAGGAGGAAGGAAGGGGGAAGAGGAGAGTTCAACCCCCTAATAGGCTGACCTATGATGCGCCGGGAAAGCAGGGCAAGACAGCCCTGGCCGGAGCGGCAATGATGGTCGGAGACGACGAGGAGAGTGACTACGAGGAGTGTGCCTTCGCGTTCTTCTCTCCGGTGGAGATGCCGGGAGAACCAGCAACTCTCAAGGAGGCTTTGGAGAGTAGTGATGCTGAGGAGTGGAAGAAGGCCATGGAGAGTGAGCTGAAGAGCATCGAGGAGAATGACACGTTTGAATTGGTGGAGCTACCGGAGGGGCGTACGGAGGGTATTCAACTTCTCACCCTAGCCATGGGCCAAATGTTAAGGTCGCACCCTGATTGACCAGGGTGCCCTAAAACCAATCTAGAGCCCTGGTGTTCCTATTCGCCATGTGTTTTGTTCCAGAGCTTCACCTAGCCTAGGGGTGTGTTGGAGTAGGCTAGAGGTCGCTCTGGCATTTATCATGGTGTTCTTTCGTTATTTCGCCATGTTTAGAGCGAGTTACACTTTCGGTTCAGTTTAGGTTCATTTCTTAATTTCTATATCAAATTGAACACACCCTAAGTTCAATTAGGGTTTCCTACATTTGTATCTCGATACTCTTGTGAGTCAATCTCTTGAACCTATCTTGCTAGCCACGGCTACCACTCTCATAATAACAGATAAACACCATACAATTCGTCCAGCTGTTGAAGAGGGAACTCGTCGGTCAGACCAAGGCACGAGTGGAAGAATTCCAAGAGCTTTGAAGGAGGAAAGACGAGTCTCTGCTGGCGTACTACAGCCGACTAATGAACGAGAGGCTGCTGGTGGAAGACTTGGAAAGCAAGGACGAAAGGCTGCTGGTGAGGAAATTCGTGCGCGGCTTGGACGAAGATCTGCGCAGCATTGTGCAGAACACTATATATGGGATCGGAGCGTATAGCACTCTTAGGGGGGTATATGGATTGGCAAAGGGGACAGATCATGCTCAATGAATGCTTGATCTTGAAGACATGGAGAACCGGGGCAGAGCCAAAACCAGCTAGGCAGCAGCAACTATCACCGAAGCTGTTCCAGTCCCACAGGGTAGGGGCGAGACATGGAGATCTTTGGGTGCAGAGAGATTGGGCACATAAGGCGCGACTGTCCAAAAGCACCGATGTGCAAAAACTATGGAAAGAAGGGACATCGCAGGGAGGACTGCTATAGTAAGAAAAAGGAAGAAGTGGCCCTGGGCAGGGAGGAGCTGCAAGCCGAGATGAAGAAGCTGCAGATGCAATTGGAGCGCTTCCCCCTGACCGAGCAGAAATTCCATGCACTAATGGCATTTGAGGAGATTGGAAGCTCGGAAAATGAAGAGGAGGAATATAAACGAGAATTTCCCTTCATGGCGTACCCTAGGGAAAATGAGGAGATAGACTTACAGACCAGACTTAGCCAATCTAGAGAGAGCCGAGCCTAGAATGACAGGATGGGGAGGCAAAGTCATCACGACCAAGCGTCGAGCTCAGGGATGAGGAGGCATCTCAATAGCGACTAGTGTGCCAGGCCTCGGTCCTGATAGCCGAACGGGGAAGCTTGACACTGGGAGGGTTGCTAGTGGGAGCTCATCATGTGTTGGTCGGCAAAGGATTAGCAAAGCAGCTGAAGCAGGACTTGCCGGGCAGATGGGTGAAGCGTGGAATACTTCTAATCACAATCGAAGGCGGGGAACCAAAATGTATGCCACACGCACAAAGGCCGGTTGAAGTGGTGTTGCTGCCAGGGACCCAAAAGGAGTGTTGCATCTGGATGCATTGTGGAGTATCTGAGTCAGAACACTATGACGTCCTGTTGAGCATGGAGCTGCTATACCGAATGGGATCGACTATCTCTATATGACATGAGAAGGTGCTATACGTGGTATACTACTAGAACCCGGAGAGCTCAATGGGCACCCTGCCCATGAAGTTCGTCAGACATGAACCGCATGAGGCGTACAGGGATGAGAAACAATGCCTCACCAAGGAACTGAACGATTGGACATAGCAGCAATGTTCGAAGGAGTGTGCATGATGGATGGAGAGGATTATCTGGGTGTGGGCCTTAGAGAGTGTGTTGGGTGTGATGGAGCTGTACGGGGGGTTAGGAACCGGCCTAGTGGAAGCCCTAAAAGCTGGATGCTTTGTCAGTAAATGGATCCATATGGAAAAGAACCATGTGGCGGATGGCGAGATGCCATGCACTGAAGCTACTGGAGGACTACCCTGAGCATATGTTGATTACCACCATATGCAACCTTACTTGGAAGTGGCAAGGGGAAGAGATTGTAACCACAGATGGTGGAATTGCTTTTTACTTGCATGCTTGTTTGGTTTCTGTTTGTGCAGGGTGTGCCCGAGGAGTCGCCTGTAACTATCCAGTTCCAGTTAGAGGCAAAGTAGCCAGAGGAAGGGAAGGTAAGCGTGTGATAGCACGGCTGTAAGCCTGCTCGAAGGCAGCTTTAGCTGCTAGACTTTCAGGCTAGGAGAAGGTGGCGTAGGCAGATAGGCGGAAGGCAAGCTGGTAGATTTGGCAGATTCTTGGGAAGTGACTCCTATTGCTTGTATGTTTCCTTAATACACGATTGTCTTGCTGAACCATTGAAGCAAGCAGAGAGCTAGAGGAGACATGGCAAGCTAGTCTAGACTTGATGCTAGAGAGAGTTCATCACACGGGGGGAGGGAGAGAAGGATAGAGAAGAGGGGGAGAGGAGGTAAGGGCACAAGGAGAGTCGTAGTGAGAGTCAAGGTCAGGAGCTTAGCTGAGGCAGAGAGTGTTAGAAGAGCAGGAAGGGAGACAAGGAAGAGGCAAAAATGGGAGCCGACAGTTAAGAAAGGTCCAAAGGTCATGAGTCAGAGAGGAGTAACCGAAGGGGGGGAATGGGGAGGGGTGTTTTCAACACAAGGCGTGGACAATCCTTGAATTTTCCACCCACCAGTTGACCCGATCGTGTGTTTAAATCTTCTATGAGAAGCCGACAGTGCCACTGTTTCGCACATGAAGCTCCCTGCAACATCTTCCAACGGGAGCACAGATTCACAACAGAACACGATGAAGCTGACGTGGCAGAAGTCGAACCTGTGCACCAGGCCCGACGATCAGCCACCCTACATCCTCATTACGAGCTCCTTCAAAACACCAGCCTTCATCCCCACATCCTAGCACGGCCCTAACAAAACTGCTCAAGTATTACACGACTACGCAAGTGAAGAAAATCACACACTGATGCAAGAAGTTCCGAACCGAGTCAGCACACAAGACAATGTTCGGGTCAACCCTGGCGACAACAAAGATGATGACATCGTGGAAGTAAGCAGCGGTAATCACACTCAACCCTGGTACAGCTTGACCGGGTTACGCATCCTCGGCCTCGTCGTAGCTGTTCGCGGACTCCCATCCCACCCTAAGCCTACAACTGTGCATCAAGCCCTGCAAGGACCAGACATTGAAAAATAGCGGGCGGCCATGAATGCTAAAATAGAGGCGTTGGAACGACGCGGAACCTGGAAGCTAGTACCACAATCAGTAGCAAAGTGGAGGAAGATTCTTAGCAGAATAAGGGCTTTCCGCGTCAAAACAAAGGCAAGCGGCTCCATCAACAAATACAAGGCTTGTTGGGTTGTCGTAGCTTTGAGCAAACTCAATTCGTGGACTGCAACCAATTCTTCACTCCCGTCAGACCACACCTCCACCCGCATCCTTCTCTGCATTATCACTGCAAAACATCTAGACCTCCGCCAAATTGACGTTTCAAATGCTTTTCTCTACGCCACCATCGACGCCATCATCTACGTTAAGCAGCCGCATGCTTTCGAAGAAGATGAATCAAAGGTGTGTCTACTTCAGAAGTCGCTCTACGGGATCAGGCAATCTTGGCGTCTAAGGCAGCAGTACCTATATGTCGTCTTCATTGAGCTTGGATTTCAGTAGCTTCCTCACCACCAAGGCATGTACCGCCTTGAACACCGCAACAACTGCATCCTCCTCTAAGCTCCTCAATCGCTTCGAGAAAACATTCAAGAGAAGCCGCACATTACCATCTCTCACTCCAACAACAATTCCTTGAACTCAACATCTCTTAGTCTGCCGAGAGCTTCCATCTCTCCATCCCCATATACGCCAAAACACTAGCCAAGAGATTCGGCATCGCGCCCATCTCTCTCTCCACTCCGTTTCGCACTGCTCTGCCCACAAACATCCCCGATATTATACCACTCTCTGCGCCCGATCATCAGCTCGGATGCATGCTATTTGCCGCTATCACGTGCCATCCATACTTATCCTACATCGCAAGCCAACTCGCCCTATACCTATGGCAATCTGAAGGGGAAAACTTGACGAATTTATGCAGAGCATTGCAGTTTTTCATCTCTACACCTGACTTCGGACAACCTATACGACGAACATCACTTCTACCTTCCAGCTTAAAGTCTTCGTCAACGCAGATCACGAAGACGATGTTGAAAACAGATGCTCTGCCAGTGGATTTATCTTCTGCCCCGAACCTACTGGAGTCATCTCTTATTTCCCGCTTCCACTCCCCTCCCTCCTCCTCCCCTCTGCTTCCCTCCCCTCCCTTCTCCTCCCCTCTGCTTCCCTCCCCTTCCTTCTCCTCCCCTCCGCTTCCCTCCCGTTCCTTCTCCTACCCTCCGATTCCCTCCTGTTCCTGTACCAAGTGATTCGCCCCTCTCTCCGCCTCTCGCTCCGCTGATCTGCCTCTCTGCTGCTATCACGTTTAACCGCTCTGCAAGGCTGCCAGCCTGTTAGAACTTCTCTAGGAAGGTGCGATGTGCTCCAGCGCTCCAGGGTTTCGCGAATCGCCTTGATAGGACAATTCTACAGTGCGACGGCAGTGCGACAGCTGTGCGACGGCACTACCACCCTAAAATAAACCAGCATTCGAATCCCATGACCGAATTCGGATCCCATGAAACCCCCTTGCTGTGCTCTCCCTCGCCTAGACCGTCGTTTCCCCTTGGTGCCAAGTGAGCGTCACGTTGTTGCCCCCACACTGCTCTTTGCCCACCTCGCCCTCCCTTCTCCTCCCCTCCGCTTCCCTCACCCTCCCTTCTCCTCCCCTCCACTTCCCTCGCCCTCCCTTCTCCTCCCCTCCGCTGCCCTCGCCCTCCCTTCTCCTCCCCTCCACTTCCCTCGCCCTCCCTTCTCCTCCCCTCCGCTTCCCTCGCCCTCCCTTCTCCTCCCCTCCGCTTCCCTTGCCCCCGCTTCTCCTCCCCTCCGCTTCCCTCTCCCTCCCTTCTCCTCCCCTCCCCTTCCCTCGCCCTCGATTCTCCTCCCCTCCGCTTCCCTCCCCTCCCTTCTCCTCCCCTTCGCTTCCCTCCCCTCCCTTCTCCTCCTCTCCGCTTCCCTCCCCTTCCTTCTCCTCCCCTCTGCTTCCCTCCCCTTCCTTCTCCTCCCCTTCGCTTCCCTCCCGTTCCTTCTCCTACCCTCCGCTTCCCTCCCCTAACTTCTCCTCCCCTCCGCTTCCCTCCCTTTCCTCCTCCTCCCCTCCACTTCCCTCCCCTTCCTTCTCCCCCCCTCCCCTCCCCTCCCCTCCCCTCCCCTCCCCTCCCCTCCCCTCCCCCCGCTCTCCCTGACCTCCCCCTCCCTCCCGCACATGCTGCCCTCCCATTGTTTTTTTCCCCACCACGCGTGCCGGCCTCCTGCTCATGTGGGTGGGGATGCGCCATGCAGGTCGTGGATACTGGCCTCTCTGCACGCAGCAGCATGCGCACTAGGCCAGCATCCTAAAGCCTCCCTTCCTCCCTCTACGCGTGTCCCCCAACGCAGCTCGCACATGAAGGTGGAGTGTGCTGTTGAGGGGGAGCAGCATACGGGCTGCACAGCAGCATGTGCCTGCATCTCTGCCTAACCTCCCATCTCCCCACCTCTCCCCGCCTCCCAACTTGCCTAACCTCAAGAGTGAGATATGCCTGCATCATTGCCTATCCTTCCTTCCTCCCCCCATACACTCCAACCTCCCCTCCCATCAGGTGAATCAGGGTAGTGCCACACAGGAGAGACATGTTTGGCTCGTTGCTAGCCCCTCTCATGCCCTCTTCCCTCGCCCTCCCCACTCCTGCCATCAGGTGGAGTATGCGATGGGGGCAGTGAAGCAGGGCAATCAGCATGCGCAGCACAACACACCGTGTTCCCCAATCTCCCCCACTCCATCCCCTGCCCTTCCTCCCTTGTGCGCTCTGCTCTACATCCCCCCTCCTCCCCACCAGGTGGAGTACGCCATGGAGGCGGTGAAGCAGGGTAGTGCAGCACACACAAGACATGTGTGCCTTGCTGCTAGCCTCCTCCCTCCTCAACTGCTCTCCCCTCCCTCGCATCCCACCAGGTGGAGTATGCCATGGAGGCGGTGAAGCAGGGCAGTGCAGTGGTGGGTCTGCGCAGCACCACCCACGCGGTGCTGGTGACGCTCAAGCGAGCGGCGTCCCCCCAGGAGTCGTATCAGCGCAAGATATTCCACGTGGACGACCACATGGGCATCGCCATCGCTGGACTCAACGTTGATGGCCGTGTGCTCCACCACTTCATGCGCTCCGAATGTCTGTCTCGCAAGTGAGTGTTTGTTTCACAAGTGAGTGCCCCACGCTTTAATCCCTGATGCACTCCACGCACCATCCACACCATACATACTAGCACAACATCTCCCACATGTCACCTGTGAGCATTGGGCCATCTTGCCTTGTCATGTGCTCCAAGTGGGTCTCACACAAGTGGGTGCGTGTCGCACCAAGGACTGCGCCACACCTGTCTCTCGCCCTTCCGGTCATATTTCTTCCGCTTTGCTGCCATCCTTCTTCTCTTCAGCCAACACCCGTTCTTCACATGCGCTGGTTTGCCATCATACGGTGATGTTTATCTTGCCGCACCATCTCCCACCACGGCTGGTCCCTTAGCACCTTTGCTGCTAGGCTTCAGTTCTGATCCCTCTTCCCCTTATCTTTTCCGTCCTTCTCCCCCACCCTTCTGTCCCTCCCACTTTCTCCCCTCGTCACAGGTTTGTCTTCGAGTCGCCTCTCCCGGTGGGCCGCCTTGTCTCCATGGTAGCAGAAAAATCTCATATGTGCATGCAGCGCTCATGGCGCCGCCCGTACGGTGTGGGGCTGCTGGTGGCCGGCATCGACCAGACCGGCCCGCATATCTTTCAAACCTGCCCGTCGGGCAACTTCTGGGAATTTCATGCCATGGCGATCGGGGCACGTTCACAGGCCGCCAAGACGTACTTGGAGCGGAAGTTTGACTCGTTCGGAGTGTGTTCGCTGGAAGAGTTGGTGCGACACGCGCTGCTTGCTGTGAAGGAGTCACTGCAGGAGGGGGAGCTAAGTGGAGCCAACTGCAGTGTCTCTATCGTGGGGGAGAGGCAAGCGTTCAGCATTTTGACTGGTGTGCAGTTGCAGGAGCATATAGATTGGATGGAAAATGAGGAGGGTGGGCAGGGAGGGGCTGTGAAGGAGGAGGTAGAGGTGGTGGAGGAGGTAGAGGTGGAGGGTGTGGAGGAGAAGGCAGGGGGAGGGGAAGGAGGGGAGGGTGGCATAGGGGAGGGGTCTAAGGCAAGGCTCTGGTTATCATACCAAATTGATCTGATGATCTAAAAAACAGACCTCCATTTTTGTTTCATCTGATTTTCCAGACCAGCGATTTTTTTTCACCTGAACCACTAGACGAGTGATTTCATTTCGTTTGAAAAAAATACTAAGTGTTATGTTTTGTCTGAAATTTCAGACAGCGCATACGATTTCATCTGGTACCCAAAAAGTACCGTACTGGCCTGCTCGCCCCCTCCCACCCCCCCTTCTCATTCCCCTTGCCCCCTCAAGTCCCTCACACGATTGTCCCAACCCAACCCCACCACCAAGTCACTCCTCTACGAGCCCAGCCACATCTCTAGTCCCTTGCTTGCTTATCTCGCATCGCAGCACCAGTCCATCCCCCCTTCCCCGAGTCATTTTCAGGTGCAATCTCAATAATTTAGGAAATGTGTTCAGGTGCGATCCCGATCCGTTACGGCACTGTTACGGAACTGTACACACGTGCCGCAACAGATCCTTGTGCAGACTCGCCACTCACATCTTGTTCTAGCTGCACTGTGAGATCCCCGATTGATCCTTGGGGGGGTTACAGGAATGTTAGCCTAGGGGGTTATGGGCGCACTGACCTGCTACTGTCAGAATCCCTTTTATCCCAATGGTCTAGTGGTTGGGATTCTGACATGGTATCAGAGCGGTCTCAGGTTCGAATCCCGGTGTATGCACATGCAGGCCATTGCTCTTGTGCTCAGTCCTAGGCCTCCTGGTGTGGGGGGGTGTCAATTGAGCTGCACTGTGAGATTCCCGATTGATCCTTGGGGGGGTTACAAGCATGTTAGCCTGGGGGATTATGGGCGCACTGACCCACTACTGAAACAAGCCCTTTTATCCCAATCGTCTGGTGGTTGGGATTCTGACAGACAGATTTTATTGTCTCTGACACATTCGGATGGAAATCAAACAGACAACATGGCTAGACAAAACTACCCAAAGATGTTAAGGCCACCTGAAAGCATTTTCGAGAGGGATCAACCCTAAACACGTAATCCTATCTGGTATTTAGGGTTGATGCTTCTCGATTCGAATCCGTTTCCGATTGGGTTTTTTTTTTTTTTTTTTTTTTTTTTTTTTTTTTTTTTTTTTTTTTTTTTTTTTTCACGGGAACCTCGGGGAGGCATGAACCCTAAACACCATGAGGTTCCCGTAGTTAGGGGTTGATCTCCCAAAAATGCGTCCAGGGTCACTAAAGGTTTTAGTTATTGTTTTCGGGGTCTGTCTTAGCAATTCATGGTACCGTCGGTAAACGAAGCTTGTGTTAGCGCATTAATTTCCCTCGACGAGTACAGATTTGAGTGGCGCATCTTTCCAAGGCTCTGTTCCAATACGTGTTGTTGAGATAGGAAAACAAGAATGGTGAATGACTAGCAACAGGGAGATACAAGTATGAAACCCTAACTGGGGTTGTACCCTATACTGAGCACCTCACTATAGCCTAGCAAAATTAAGAACATACAAATTTGTTTTGATACACCCCCCTAAGCAAAGTGAGGGATAGCCAATACAACAAACGGTCAGGCAAGAGAACAAAGCAATGCAACGCCCAGAGTGGATCTCAAGATCACCACTAATTCTGAGCACGAGATAGCGGCCACAAGGCCAGTTCACATGAAGAGTTATAATCGCAAGGCAGTACACTGATCACAACCTAGCAAGAGTAGACATGCAGGCATAAATATAGATATCAGTGTACAACAAGTGCAAGATCAAGAGACAAGCAGGTGAGGCAGAGTGGGCACAAGCCCAAGAGCAGTGCAAAAACGTTGATGATCACCAGACCCAAGGGCCTTGGTGAAGACATCAGTACTGTTGGCCCGAGAGGCCATGAAGGAAAGGCGAAGCTAACCACGCTGCTGCAGCTCTAGAGCAAGAAAGTAGCAAAGAGCAATGTGCTTCGTTCTATGCTCTAGTCTCTGCTCGTGACACAAGGCCAGCATGGCCTTGTTGTTGACGTACAGAACTAGAGGAGAACGAGGCCACTCCCCCAAGACGGTCCGCAGGTAGGTCAGCCAGCGTATCTCCTATGCACCTATAGCCCCATCATAGATCTCGGCCTCACAGCTAGAACCAAGCACAGAAGACGATCGACTGGACCTCCACGAAACAGAACCAGAGCCAAGACTGAATGTGTAACCCTGTGACGAATGCTGAGTCGCCTGGTTGTCGGCCCAAGAAGCGTCGAAGTGTCCTCTAAGTACCAATGCACCCCGTCCTCCAAGCACGAGCCCCATGCCCGATGTACTGCACAAGTAACGCAGTACCCTCTTCACAGCATCCCAGTGCACCTTTCGGTGTCTACCGGGAGCCAGAAGGCTGAGAGGGTACGCGAGGGCAGGTCGTGTGCACGTCATCAGGTACATGAGGCAACCCACAAGCTCTGGATACAGACCACTCGGCTCTACAGACTCATCCAAAGGTGGAGCTGAGAGCGAGTGGCATGTAGGCAGAGGAGTGGGCTATGGCGAGGAGTATTGGTAGCCGAAGCGCTGAAGGACCTGGTGAACCATGTATGACTGATTCAAGGTGATGGTGCGCCGTGCTCTGTCCCGAGTGATCTGCAAGCCAAGATAGCTCCGCAGCTCACCCAGGTCAGTGCAGGTGTGTCTCTCCTGCAGCTCTGCCTTCACTAGGGCCAATGCCTTAGTGTCAGCAGTAGCAAAGACCAAGTCGTCAACATACACGAGAACGTAGAACGGCGGCAGAGAAGTGTCGGTGCGTAGAAACAGTGACGGGTCAGCAGAGGAAGAAGCAAACCCAAGAGCCGCAAGTGTAGTCCTCAGTCTGTCGTGCCATTCGTGGGGCACCTGGTGGAGACCGTAGACCGCCCGCCGGAGGCTCCACTGGGTACCCGCAGGAAACAACCCAGTGAAGCCAGGTGGGCGTCGTAGCCAGATCTCCTCATGAAGGCTGCCCTGCAAGAAAGCTTTGGAGAATTCGAGGGAGTGCAGCTCGTAGTCACGCTGTGCTGCAGCGTGTAGCAACACCCGAAGAGTATTCATCTTCGGGGTGGGGGAAAATGTCTGGAAGAAGTCGACCCCCTGTTGCTGTCTGAAGCCTCGAGCAACGTAACGCGCCTTGAAGGCAGGCAGAGAACCCAGCGGCCGCTTCACCCTGAAAATCCGCATGCCATCGACTATGCTTTCCCGAGGAGGAGAAACCTCGTCGACGTAGGTTCCTGTGGACTTCCAGGAAGCCATCTCTGCGTCCATGGCTGTCTGCCACTGAGAGGAGTACTCACTCGCGATCGCCTTAGCGTCAGAGCGCGGGGTAGGGATGGCAGGTGCATTCGGGTCTCCCTCAGGGCAAAGCAGCATGGATGCGAAACGAGGTAAAACGGCCGTAAGACACTCAAGCTCAAAATGCCTGTCCTCAAGGACGTCACTTACAAGGGCAGGCTCACCCCCGAGGGACAGAGGACAGACAGAATCAGACTCAGTAATAAGACTCGCGACGTAGTCAAGACGGTGTCTAGAAGCAAAGTCGACTAGCTCAGTAACTAGGGCAAACGCAGCAGTAGACTCAAAGTCAGGGTCAGTGACGACAGTAGCAAGGAGATGCGTGACAGTAGGACTGGCAGCACGAGCAAGGTCGGACGCAGGGTCAGGACCATCAAAAAGAGAGGATGTCGGAGGAGACGGCAGAGGAACACGTTGTGGAACAGAGGAAGGACGAAGTGCCATAAAGTGAGTGCCTGGGACAGCAGGAAGTCGAGGACGGGCGACACGACGAGCACGAACAGGTGTGGAAGCACGAGTCTTAGGCTCACGATGCTCAGTCAGGGACTCAGTCACCTCAGTGTGAGGAGCAGGAGCAAGGAGCGGGAAGCCAGGCAGTAGCTGTGGCTGAGACTGGTCTGTCGATGGACACAGGAGAGGTGGAGTAAGGCCAGTGGAAGATGGGAGACTAAGAACCTGGCGAAGGACCAAATCAGGCGGCGGCAGAGACAACTGCGGCTGCAGGTAGGAAAACGGCCGGCGCGGGGCAGTTCCCATACCGTCAGCAGCTCCAGCTCCTCCAGCACCAGCAGCACCAGCACCTCCAGCACCAGCAGCTCCAGTAGCACCTCCAGCACCAGCAACACCACCAGCTCCGGCAGTGCCAGCACCTCTAGTACTTCCAGTACCTCCAGCTCGAGCGCCTCCAGCACCAGTAGTACCTCCAGCACCTCCAGTGCCAGCAGCTCCAGTAGCACCTCTAGCACCTTCAGTACCTCCAGCTCCAGCGCCTCCAGCACCAGCAGTACCTCCAGCACCTCTAGTGCTAGCACCTCCAGCACCTCCAGCACCAGCAGCACCACCTGCTCCGGCAGCTCCAGCACCTCTAGTACGAGCAACTCCAGGACCAGCACCTCCAGCACCTCCAGAACCTCCAGCACCAGCAGCACCTCCAGGACCTCCAGCTCCGAGAGCTCCAGCACCTCCAGGACCAACAGCTCGAGGAGCTGTAAAACTCCAAGCTCCAGCACCAGAGCGGCCTTGCCGAACGACCCACTCACGAAGCTGCTGTGGTGAGGGCCTCTCGATTCGACTAGGCTGCTGTTGCTGTCCAACGCCAGGACATGCAGTAGGAGCACCCACCGCCCCACCACCACTATGACTCGCAACACCCCCAGAGTCAGCACCCCCAGAACCCTCACCCCCAGTCTTAGCACCCCCAGGACCAACACCCCCAGTCTTAGCACCCACACGACCAGCATCTCCTGCATCCTCACCTCCACTATCACCACCCCCAGCAGCATCATTGTCCACAGCTACAGGCTGCAGAGGCGGTGACGACGGTCGAGGCGGAAAACCAGGAGGGGTCTCCAAGCGTGGAGAGCGACGAGTGGTCGTTGTGTTGTCAGCAGCGGGGTCACCCCCCTTAGCTGGGCCAGAGGTGTCAGAGGAGACCACCAAAGGCTCAACCAGGGGAGGGGGGGGCTACCTGAGAGACACCTGAGGGAGCAGGACCCTGTGGGGGGAGGGGGTCTACCGGGGGGGGACTGGTACTAGGAAGAGAAGCGCCAGGGG